TGAAATCGGATCGCGCAGCTCCTCACGATGACCCTCGGAGAGAGGTGACCCCCGTGAGGACTAACTCATCTTAGAGCCGAGGAGTCTTTCTGGCAAACTACCCTACCGCGCAGAGAATACGGCACACTAGGTTTCCAGCTTCGCACGGGCCCATGGAATTTATCCGTGACGTCCTCGAGAAGGTTCAGATCGGCAAGGATGGAGCAACCTTAATCAAAAGACTTCCGTCACCTGAATTTTCCCCTGAAGGGATTGAAAATTTCAAATGGCTCCGAATGGTTATTCAGAAGGCGGTCGTTAAATTTACACCTCGAGGTGATCCGTCAAGGCCTTGTTAGGAAGCATCGAACGTTCGGCAGATTCACGAAGATAAAGTAGTCGCGTGAAACTTCCTTCGATGTGCTGCTGGCCCAACTGACTGACTTCATCATCTCTTTCTTCTTTTCCAACAACGGCATAGCGGCAACAACAAAAGATTAGAACGTCCGGAAAGAGCGCCACGAGCCGATCAGCTAGTGTAGTCTACCGGCAGCGTCGGCTAAACTATTCTCAGGGTCGCATAACTGACTGAAAGGTTCACGGCGTCGGAGACGAAATGACGCTGAAAACAGGCGGTTTATAACAGCGTTTCGTTCGTGACATTCGACGAGCTGATGACATTTGCCGAACTGGATCCTCTCGGCAATCTAGTTGGTCGATTATCTGCATCATCATCGCCCAGGTACAACCGAAAGGAAACGCGCCTAATATCATGAAACGTCACAAGCCATCGATGTTTCTAATCAAAGGTGAAGAAAATACTTCGACGCAGGAAACTTTTCGGGACAGTGGAATTATTCCCGGCGACGAGCCCTGCCGTGGGCACCGATGCGGATGCTTTCGGTGATTTCCGATAAAACACCCTATATATGGAGCAACTCCCCTGGAGTTTTTTCTTTGATCAATCGCCTAGGTGAGTCGCACAGCGATGCCACGCCTCTTCGGAACTCGTGCTGACGTCTTGATATGCACTCGGCTTCGATCACTAGATGAATGTATTGGACGCAAAGCTTCGGGAGAGCTCATCCAAGAGATCCGGAATTTTCTTTTCCTTCTTCTGACATGCTCCGTCGAGGAAAAAGCATCGGCCTTCGTTGGTCTGCCTTCTCTTCAGTCACATAGATTTTTATTATGGATATGAATCCAATTAGGAGGAAAGCCACCGGGATTCAGATGATTTCTCGTAAAAAAAACACAAACCAATTCCTTCAGCGCTCACGATTTTTCCTGCTGGTTCTAGGTCAGCGGGTTCGAGCTGTAAGAAGCTTTCCTCGGATAGTTAGGATGGATGTTGACGGATGCTCGTGCCTGCGTCTCTAGAGGTTCACAAATTCGCTAAAACCTGTCCGAGCTGGGGCTTCCATCGGAGCGATAAATCCCGTGCCGTGCCTACGGTTTCTCTCCGATATATTCGGGAGAGAGACTCAGAACCCCAGAAGTTCACCGGAGACGTTCTCAGGAGCTCCGGAAAATGGTTCCCCAGAAGAAAGTCAAGGAACAAGTGCCGATCGAACCGAAATGAGAGGCGAGCACCCAGATGAGAACATAAAAGGGAGCAAGCTAAAATCGGATGATTTTCAGATTCGGTCGATCGCATTCGACTGAGGTCCTTGGCTGGGGAATTCATGTGCGGCAGATTCCACAGTGTTCCGTTTCGCTTCTTCGAGCATACCCATATTTTTCAAGAGAGGATTCCCTTAGACACTTTTGGGAAGTCTGACCGGTGGGAATTGAGTCATTTCAATGAAGTCTGGGTAACTTTACTCAGGTGCTTGTTTTTTTGATGATCTCTCAGGGAACATGATTCTCTATTAACGCTGAACAAACTCGGATCGGATTGAGTCCCGCGCTTTTCAATTTTTTGCCCAATTTCAAACTCGGAAGAATCGTGAGAGAACTTTCGGATTAAGATGTCCAAGCTTCGCTTAAGTTGTCGATGAAATTCGGCTCCTGGACAGAGCAGTCATCGCCGGACTATAGCCTGATTCAACTTTTGGTTTTTCAATTGTTTAGGAGCGCAAGAAGATTGGATTCGAATGACCACCTTCTGCAACGCGAATAAGCGATTCTATTTTTCAAGAGTTTTATGTCAAATCACGACAGCGACGCAACGTTTCGTCGACGATTGAATCGCACGATTCTCTCACCTCGCCCGTGATTTCTCGACGACAGCGGATCGTGGAAAAGATTCGAAACTCCAAGCACGTCTGATGATAGCCATATCAGGTCTCGAGGTCTCCAATTCTCCATTTCTCGTTGACCTCCCTTCAACCCAGCCCAAATTTCACTCCTTCTCTTTCGCCGTCGGATCAAAATGTACTCGGTGCTGTCTTGCCGATCTTTGTTCGCTTGCTCGCCATGGAATCCGAGTATTGGAGAACCGATGGTTTTCTCCGCATTCATTCAGCGATCCGCTCGAGCTCCGTCGAGAAACTCGAGTGTCGTCTTCGGGCTAGAACTAACCGGATGGGCACCGGAATCGAGTTCAATGTCGAGGACGGTAACTAGCAGATTGCAAAGGTGAGAGACGATCCTTCACTTGAAGACGATCAGTATTTGCGGTCGATTCGCTGCGGAAAAGCCCCGTGGAGTCGGCGATACCGAAATTCGAGGACCGTCCCGTCCGGAGAGGGATCGGAAACGCAAGATGAGGAGGCTAAAGGCCACCTCGGAATGCTCTCGCTATCCTGAGAATGACGGCACGACGGCTAACATACACCCGATTCGAGACTGAGCTCTGAGCGAAGCGATAGATATCACCCGCGCATCGTAACAGGATCACGTAATTGATAAATGCTCCGAATGCAGCTGGAATTTGTGGAACGCTTCGTCTGGTCTCAACATACCTCTTACTTAGAAGAGCGTCCCGCCCTGAACAGCGTTGCCACGATGTGCCTTTCTTCTTGATGAGAGTGGCATCATGAGGGGAACGAGTCGATTCTCCAATCCACTCGTACGGTGCAGGGAAATGGTCCTTCAGTACTCGTCAAGCTTGCCGGGTAGTGGAGACTTAATCTCCAGCAAAACGAAGAGCACTGACCTTTTAATGAAGGATTCAGATAGTACGACTGGTTTGACTGACCGTCGGAAGCTCAAAAAGATTTAAATCGAGCTTTCTTCTTTCAGATATTTCTCACACGGATACGCCTCGTCCGTCGGCCGGCAATCATGGCATAAGGAAAACGAGTTTGGAAATTCACAGAAATGTGAACCTCTCTCAAGAGCTGTGTTTATCCTAAAAAAGCAAAAGTTCAAGTTTTCCTCGAAGATCTGGTCGCCAACGACGAATATCCCACACAGGAAAGCTTCACTGAATCAGCAAATTAATCCGAGAAATCAGTTACATCAATAGATCTCCTTAGAAAAAAGGTTGTGTGATGGAAATTATATATCCATTTGCTACTCCCGGTGTTTGCTAGAACATACACGAAAACATCATTCGAGACATAACGTCGCGTAGCCCAATAACAGTGAATAATTATGCGAGTTCCGAGGTCCGAGGCGAGTTTGATGAAAAGCGTCTCTCGAACTTAAGCGTAATATGCTCCCGCGCGAGAGGGGCCGATCAACATTGGAAAACAGTGCATTTGGAGTGAAGACGCACGCGTGAGGGAGAGAGGGAGTGTTTATCTGGAACGAATACGTATGAAAGATGCGATCGTTCATCATTAGCGTTTATTGGAACACTATGCGTTCACATGCACCGACTTTGATGCACCCGATCGGAGCTCTAACATATTACCTTTCCGAGGCCTCTGCTTGACCACAAAACGAGATTTGCACGATCAGCAGTGCTGTGGTGCTACGAGGATGCTTTTCGGCCGCTGACTTCCGATGGAGCTCGCGGTCAGTGCTCGTGTCGCTGGTGAATTAGCATCTCTCCGAGAGGGTTTGACTCGCGATGGGCTTCTGCAAGACGATCCTGGACGATTCCTTCAATTAGGGCTACCCGTCATATCAAATAAAAGCGCTTGTTCCGTGAAGGTTCGCCCCAGGTTCCGCTCCCTCACACAGTTGCGAGCTCCGCTCATTCCACCTCGACTTATGCGCGGCCACCGACAGATGTGATCAATGATTATTGATGACAACAGGAATCGAAACGTCCGCAGCAGTAGTGGTGAGCTTCTCCAACGACGGTGAGTTTCTCTAGCGTACTCGGCGGACTTAATCTCCAGCACTTCTCCCCTATCTGGAAACAATGAAATCCTGCCTGGCTGATCCTAGAAACAGTCTCCCGCTTTGAATCGAAGAGAGCGAATCTTAGAGTGCCGTGTTTTTTGTGCTTCCTGAACTCGATGATGTCGTTTCTGTCAAGGGTGAGTTCGCGCCTCTGGGTGGGGCCCGAGATCGTGGAGCGCGAATTCCTTTCTCCCGGCCGTGTGTTGTCCATGGGCCGAGATCGCTCGAGAAGAGATCGGAGCTCCAGGGATCGGCGGAGACCCCTAGGGACTAGACACAATAACCGGGGAAAGCTACAGACGGGAAACCCTACATGCGGAAGCATTGCGCGAAGGACTCGTGGTGCTTTGTGTCTGAGGCCTCCACCGCTCGCTTCCGAGCGAAGCTGAGCAAATAGCTGACCGTGCTCGTGAGGAGTCTCAGGTTGATCCAATCTGGGCTTGCCTCGAAAAGCGACGCGTTCGAAATCTTCTCTGTTCGGTGTGCGTTTCCCGAGCTTGTACTGTTGCTTGCACTCGGTATGACGGCCGCTATCTTACGTGCTTAGTCATCATCGGCAGTCATCCTCGGTCTCAGTGAGCTTGTTCGACTATGCTCCCAGATTACACTGCAGTGGCTAATCCATTTTTGAATATACCAAGCTCTGTCGAGCGGAACGAGCTCGTATTCATCCCCCATCCAACGCAGAAAGATTCAGAAACTCAGGTGGCTCGCTGCGCAAAGCTTCTGCGGGATGACATCTTCAATCTCCCTAATGATAATCGGCATTGAATTTATTTCAGCACGGCTCCGTTCGGAAGTCGAAAAGCAGCTCATCGACGCCATCGTCGACCGCACCCAGTGAGACTTCAATCTCTGCGCCGCGCCCCGCCTACGTAGCAGCGCCGAAGGCGGCAAACCGCCCCTCATCCTCTTCTTCAAGTCCGATAGTTCAACGAAACTTCAACACGGCTCTTTCAGCCGCGGGCTCTGATGAGTTGGTCAAAGTGAATCTTCTCCCCATCTGCTTTCAGAGGAATTCCGAATGCGACGACGGAGGCTCCCCGCAGACCTCAATCGGTGGACGATTGTAACGCTCGATAATTTTAGGTGGTTGTCAGGGATTTCCCCGGCTGGTCTCACGATCAACTCCTATCGATCAGAGGAGTTCCACTCGCAGCAAGATGCTCATCATGTGCTTGTGTGGCAGGAATGCTGATGCGAGCGCCGTGCGGCTGCTCGTACTGCGAGGTCTGCATGAGACGAGTTGAGCCAACCTCAGTGATGAAGTGCCGACCTCACGGTGCCAAGACGACTCGCTCAGAGGTGAAACGGCTAGGATCGATCTATCGTTCTCAATCTAAATCACTCAAGCTTTCCTGGCAATCGACCGCGTCTCTGATATTTCGTATTTTGGGAGCAGTTCGTCGAAGATCCTTACGTCTACACATTCTGCATGGACCTCGGAGCGATGTGCCTTTGGAACACCGACGGATGCAATTTCGAGGGACCGCTGAGCACAATCCAGGTATTGAGACTCCCGTCTCTGAGAAACGCTCTAGCAACATGGGGAACTGAAATCCTTTGGGAGTGGTGTGCCGTACTCGTCGGGAACCTCCGGTCATGATTCCTACGAATCGGAATGACCTCCTTGTTCGAGCCATGATGTGTATTGCTGATGATTCGGACCTTTCTCCTCGTTTCAGGACCATAGCTCGCGCTGCGTGTTCCGGGCGGAGAATTGTACTGATTGTGAAAAACGAGTCTCGTACAGAGCGATGGCCTCGCATCGGAATACAACGTGCGAACAACGGAAGGTACGCTCTCCAACACGAGATATGCTCTAGCACAGGAAGAAGGCTGGCCCGAAGACAGAGTGTGATCTCAGCTCTACTATCGATTTCAGGTCGCCTGCGAGGTTTGCGGGGCTCTGGTCCTGGCTTCAGCTCTAGAGGTCAATCAAGCCTTACTACTAGGAGCCTAAACATCGCTTTTTGACAAATAATTCCTTTTGACACTGTCTTTCGATTAACCCGTTCCCGTCTCGGGATTCTCAACAATCATTTCCGCATTGCAGCGCCACATCAGCGTTTGTCCGGAAGTCGAGATAAATTGTATGATTTGTGGCCGAAGAGACATCAAACGAGGTCAAAGTGAAGCTCATCGGGTGGAGTGTACCTCTTTGGAAAGACCATGCAAAATGAGCGTCGTCGGATGCACTATAAAAGTTAAGATCTTTCCAATGAAGGTCTCGGAGAGGAAGAAGAGACTCGAATATCCTGTATCACGCTCTACAAAAACATTATTTTCTTCAAAGGCTACCAATGCAGAGCTCCGCGAGCACGAGACAATGGATACGCACATTGATCTCTTCTCGAAATTCGCGCAGAATCAGGCGGAGCGCATCCGTGTTCTCGAGGAGGCTCTTCAGAAGAGTTCTCATGCCAACGAGCATAGTGATCTGGCAAAGGTGACTTGCTTCCTCAGTTGAATTGTATCACCAATCACCACCGATATCGTCAAAGTCCCTTCATTCGGATGAGTCGAAGCTTATCTGACTTCTTGATACTTCGGAAATTTCAGACAGTCGAAGTGCTCCGTTCCCAGGTTTTACAGCTTTCTAATCGGCTCATGCTGATTAGTACAGCTCTTGTTGAGGACCCCTTTTACTGGAATCTTTGCCCGTACAAGGCAATTCTAGAGGTGGACAGCGATGGCGCTCAGGTACAGAAGCGATTCGTTTCCCGAAAGGCAACGGCCTATTGCCACAGAGACGAGAAATATTTCTCTTTTCTTCCAGGTACTTTACAGTGATAGCTTCTACACGCCATCCATTCCTGGCTACAAGGTGATCCGATATACTCATGAAACTATTTTTGGTCATCTCTGTGTACTTTGCCGAATTCCCTCTAATCCGTCTCGCTCGGTCGGCAGATGAGGCTTCGCCTACTCGTAGATCACAGAGCGAAACTCCTACACATGACGCCACAGCTGCTACCTGGTCAATTCAACAACATCATTCCCTGGCCATTCCCTGCGCAGGTGAGGTTTTCAGAAAGGCTCCCACGATTCCATAACTCACCTCAGAGACGGAAAGTGATCTGGATGAGCTCTCGCTCCTCTCTCAACCTATCCGCAATGATTCCCTTCTTTCTCGCAGTATTTACTCAGACTCGTCGACCAGAGTGGGCAAGGACAGCACAAAGACCTGGCTGTCACTCTCGGAGCGACAGCGAACCTGGAGAAACCCACTGAATGTGGTCGCGTCTTACGGTCGCCGAACCTTCAGGTGAAATCTCGAGACCACTAGGCTGCCGGCTGTCGCCCTCTCGAAGCTTCGGAAATCGGAGCATTCGTTGAGGGAATAGCTTTTCCGCCTCGTAAAAAAATTCCCCTCCAATATAGATCAAATTTGAGACGCTGGATTCGACACGGTCCGGAGTTCCTCAATTCAGCAAGAACGATTGCATCGTCTTCATGTTCAAAATCAACATCCCTGCGGATTTCGTTGAGCGGATATGAGGAAGGGCGCTTCTGGGGAATGCCATCCCTTCATTTCACTGCACAAATCTCATGAAACGATCAAGGTATAAAGATCTGATCATGTTCATCGTCGTGATAGGATGCATGACGACTATTCATCTCCGAAGAAAACCCATTGGTTCCTGCCCATCCTGGATTGTTCCTATCGATATAATTCGGGGCATATCTCTCCTCCGATAGTCTGGTATCCGACTCTCGGCGCGGGTTCCTAGATCGATGTTTCTCATGAGACTCCACAAACCGCGGCAGAGAGCCAGATTCAGAGGTCAGCCTAAGGGTATCTGTACCGTCCGACTTTGATCGGTCCGGTTATGCCCATTCGCCTATCATTTGTCCGAGGGCCCTCGAAGAGGAACCCGGAGGGAAAAGTCCCCGCATGGATGGCTGGCTTTTCCTTGTCCCACCACGTGAAGTGAACTGGTCGCTAGGATGATATGCTTGGGTCCCTGCATGCTCCGCTAGTATTTATGGAAATATCGATCTGTATCCTGAAGGCGGAGTTGAGCAAGCTCCAGCATGAGAACCACAGGCACAGCTTCAGGAATACTCTCAGTTTCGGAGGTTATTTTGCTTTTCACTCAATGCGTATCCGCATAAATACCGTTCGATCGTTTTTCAATAAAGCTCATGCATATGACTGCGAGGTGAGGTCTCATTTTTATTCCGCGGGCTTCGTACGGAGGAAGTCCCGCTTATATAAGAGCTACGTTCTTTCATCCTGAGAGGGTTCATCGGAGACTAGAAGGTATGTACAGGTCGTGCGCTCCGCGAGAAACTGGAGCGCGCGAGAATTCGGGACGACTAATCTTCACCTTGAATCTGTGAATGCCGCCGGGGACGAATTTTCAGCGGACTGCTCGGCTCGAACTCCTCGGAATCCGAGCACCGCGGAAATCTCTTCCCGTTTTTATTCACACTGTACAAGCAGACACAGCTCTCGATGAGATTCCGAGTTGATCGACGAGATCTGTGAGAAGAGGTGGAGATTTGCCCAAATTATTCTCTGCTTATCGCCCAAACCCGATTTGAAATACTGAGCTGTCTATCAATCCAAAGAATCTATCCATTCGAGGGGAACTCGATGATGCCTAACCTAATGATTGGATAACATCGCTACTCGGCGACACGTTGTACGGTGTTTTTCTAGCTTCTCTCGGTGAGGTAAGCTGATTGAGTTCTTCCGTGGGATCTGTGCGTTTCAGATACGTCTCGAAACGTATTTCCGTATCCCATGATCAGACATGCGGTCGCCGAAAACAACTTGCAGCCGGAGCTCACAAATGAAGTAGTCCTGCACCGATAAGCTCGATAGCAGCACCTCCGTCGACCGTCGTCGGAAACACTCTTTAATGAACTGATATGAACTCGCGAACTATCTGTGACTCAATTATGTTACTGATTGCAGAACATCACAGAGGATTCTTTCTATAGGGACAGGTCCTATCGTAGATCTGAAGTAGACGTCCTCGAGAACCGAGGTCCTGGCGGACCGGAGGATGCCGAGGAGGAGTATCAACCGGTTCGAACGACTTGAAGACTTCGACTCCTGCGCCACCTGGTGCTGCTCCAGAGCTTCGAGACTTTGTTCTTGAACACGTTCAATGTGACTAGGGTCGAAAAGTCCGGGCAGCTCTGTCGACGAAAGAGGCATATCGGTGATCGATTTCTACCGACACTGGAGCAAGGCTGCGAGGATAATCTCATAGACTTACCGGGTCGGAACAGAGCTAGAGCTTTCAAATAGGAGTATTCGGTGTTGTCGACATTCAAGGCCATGAGTTCTTGTAGAGCTCGACGGAGGATGTGAAGATGCTTTCGACTGAACGTGCTCGCTGGCTCATTGAAGATACCTGACCAATGGGAATCAAAACGACTCAGCAAGATCATTGGGAGAGGCCCAAGTACCTACATGCTTGTTGAGAAAAAAGGGGACGAGGCATAGACTCTATTCTTGCCATGATCGTTTTGGGATGGATATTCTGGAGCGCAGTGCGCGTCAGCTAACCTTCTGTGGGCAATGCGAAGCGTGATTGAGCAGCTGTACAGAGAAAAATATCACTCCATGAGTACTCCACGAGAATCATCTGGTCGGCACAGGTCAGCTGCTGGAAAGCCGGGGTGGAACGAATCCACCGCATGCTGCAGAAGAGCAGCTTTGCTGCGGTTTCCTGGGGTATTTGAAATTTCAGCTCGAGAGAATTTACGTTACAATTACGCTTAATTATTTTTTTTATCTGAATACGTTGACCCTCCACGGAGAGTCGACGCATCGACGGTAGGGATACGCGTACTCCTCTCACCTGCGGATTTTCCTCCGGGTTCGGAAGCGAAATGAAGGGATTCGGCGCCAGAGGGAATGCCGTGGAGTGTTTCATATCTGGACTCGATATCTCGATGTCGGAGCGTTCTGTAGCAGGACGCGGGGGTGAAAGGTCCAGCTCGTGCTTGGTCTCAGCGTTGTTCTCGCTCAACATGAGCTTGGACGGTGATCCCGCTTCCCGTGACAGGGTATCGGGAGACCAGAGCGACGAAAGCGGAGTGCTCTCCACGAATTCGGGAGGAGGTCGGTTCAGCAGCTGGTAGGCGGCGTACACGGCGGGCGAAGGTATTGCTAGTTCCGTCGGTGCCGATAATGAGAAAGTTAGTCCGGATATCGAGTCGAGGAGTCTCCTTCTGGGACCGGTCCGCGGCGCTCGCTCGTGCTGAACGGCTGCAAGAAGCAGTCCAATCGGTGAAAATCTCGGAAACCGACTTTGGAGAATCCCCCGAAGTGGCCCTTGATCGAGGAAAAAATGTATGTGTTACGATTCTCGGAACAGCCTCCACGACAAGGGGCGAGTTTCTACTGAGTTGGAGAAGAGCCGGCTGCGAGCGCACCGGAAGCCCTCGAACGGGTCTGAGCTCTGTGTTTGGACAGCCAAAAATTCGCTCTCCACTGCACTCAGAGTTTCTGCTTCCGCTTCCATATGTCAGAAACACTACTTTCAAGAAGAAGGCAAGAGCACCTTTATTTGTCCCGCGAGCTGGAAGAAAAGGCGGCGACCTGATCGCAGACGATCCCGATCGTCGGAGCGAAACCGCAAGGTTTCGCCCGACAGGCTCGCTCCACGGGCGTCGATGTTCCTGTCGGACTTCGTGCCCCCGACTTGGTGCAAGGTCGGAAGATCCGAATACAATTATATTTCGAGACAATGCGAATCGAAGTTTGAATGAGGGACTTCAATTATTCGAGTTTGAGGTCCATCGCAGATCACGAATCGAGAGGAGCACGGTATCACCGGTGTTATCCAGAGCGATTGCGATTTAATTAGGAGGCGTTCAGAAATCTTCCTTACCCTCACGCCGCATGTTGACAGCGAGGCATTTTTTGAGTCGACATGCCTGGCACTGATTTCTTCGAGCCACATCCACGACACACGTTCCTCCCTCCTTGCAGGAGAAGCGTAGGTCGCGACGAACGCTCCGCTTGAAAAATCCACGGCAGCCATCGCAAGAAGCCACCCCATAATGACGACCCGAAGCGCGGTCGCCGCAGACCCTGCATAATGGCTCGCGATCTGAAAATCAAGTTCCATTCAAGCTCGGATTGTTGCTCTCTCATGCAGGATCGCCGAGCTTTTTGTGCGCCTAATTGTGAAAGCCAGAAAGATCCCTTCGAATCTTGCATCTTCAAAGTGGTTTTCTTTGCGCAATCGAATACGGACAGCTTGCCTCCTGGGCGGGAGAGAGGGGGCGTTCATACGGAGGTTTAACACCGATAGCAGCCTGCTCCTCGCCGGCTGAGTGACTGATGGCTTCACTTCGGGCTTACTTGGAAGAGCTATGAAAGTCCCGGAACGGACCCGAATATCGACTGCTAGTTGTGGTCTGTTATCCAGGAATGGTGGGGAGACTCAGAGGGGACAGGTTCAGATTTTCTACTCGTGTTTGCGTCCACCAGGGAAGGCGTATGTAAGAACCGGGGGCCAGGTATGCATAGAATAATGACGCACAATATCTCGTCGGACTGCTGAGAGAAATGCCGCTGAATTCCCGGAGGAGTCAGCGTCACCACCACCGATTTCTTCGCCACGAATGGAATAATTGTCGCAGAAACACGATCCGCACCCGTCCGACAAAATGTTTCTCTCACAATGATATTGATCGTGTGTGTTTGATTCGAGATCAGATATTCTCAGATGTCTCCCTTCTAGAGAGATTCGTACCTCCGATATCTCCTGGCAGAACCGGCGGCGGGTCATGAATTAGGAACCACATGAACGATTTTTTCGATCTGGAGATCTCGAAGTCAGCTTTCTGCTCCTTTGGCTGATTCAATGCTATCTTCTTTTGACGAGATTTCGCGGATGATTTTTCTCTTTTCTTTCATGGACTCAAGATTTCCGATACTACTAGCGCGTCATTGAAGGTTGGGGATTCGCTTGAATTCGGTGTATGAAGGTCGCGGCCCGAATGCCTTAGCGGGCTCCTCGGGGACGAGCTTCCTCCTGTTGCGCGGGAGGGAAATGTCGCCCGACACGAAACAATTATTGTTGCTCAAGAGTAGAATACTCAGGCAAATATTTATATCGGAGATGGTCATTGGTCCCCTGAGTGGGAAGTGACCCCTTGTCACCGAGCACGGAGACTCTGAGACTTGTCAAGGAAAATATGGAATCCCGACAGAATGGATCCCGCGAACCGATTTTCTCTTTTGGGAACCAGCTCCGTGGCACAAATTGAAGCGACGGACCTCGGCGATTTCTGTTTCCTTCACGATTTTATACGGTTTCTGTCCGATACCGAAGAGCAGGCCATGAGGAAGGATGTCTCTCTCCAGTCAAGCGCCATGCACTCGTTCAAATTGAGACGATGTGTTGCCCAATGGCTTCTCAATGAGCAGTCAAGCTCTGATATAGCGCATCAGGGATCCGTATATAGCCTTCCGTCCATATAGCAGCCGAGAAAGAACAAGAGCGTGTTTTTTGCATCCGCGGATCGGGTTTCAAAGAGTCTCCGCATCTTCGCCATTGGAACATATCTTGATGAAGAGGGATATCGAGCACCTCGAGCGCGCAAGGAGCATGCTCCTTGGGAAATCCATCTTTCGACACAATTCCCGCTCCTCGAGAATAAGCCCCTTGTTCGGAAGCACTCCCCCCGGGGAGTGTGCCGGGTCGGTAAGCTATGCTCGCCCTGTCGGAGAGACTCTAGTTTCGAAGAGCGTTCGACTGATCTTATGGTTGTTTCCCTCTGATAATGAGAGCTGAACGTCATTTCAGTTACGTGGAGGGCCATTTCGACTTAGTGAACTCCCTCTATTCTGACTCGTAGCGTCTAATCGGATCTGACCGAAAAATCGATGCTTCCGGCGTCAAGAGTGAGGAATGAAAATCCACTGGGAAATCGAATGACATCTATGCTGATCGAAGAGGGCTTCGGATCGTCCACTGCTCCCAGAATATTGCTGAGTGGAGCGCTGAGTTCCTTAGCTCCGTCAAAGCTTCCCCGATTTGGATGAACTGGACAAATGCATAGCCATTGGCACACCTCGCGATCCAGGCAGAGACTGACTGAGAGATAACCCCGCACCTGGATGACGGCACGGAATTATCCGGGCGCATCCGATTCTCGGAGGGAAATCTACTCTGGTAAACGCCTAATTCTAGTATCCCGGACGCGTCAGAGGGACTTGGAGGCGAGACTTCCGTAAAGTCTTCTCAATTCTCGTATCTCTCCCCCCCAAGCTTCAGGTGATGTACCCGCATGCGAGGCGATGGCAGGGAATGAATATATCTCCGAGCTGAATTGACGGTGGAAATATTTCCGATGCCACAAATGGGTATGAGATAGAGAATCGATTTCGATTGATACAGCGAACAGAGCTTCTGCCTCTTCCAGAGAATGTCGAAGGAAGTCCGGAACACCGACGACGAGAAGTCTCTGCAATCCCCGAGATCGAACTTGGACGGGCAGACCAAACCTCGATTCGGAGACGTGAGTTCCAAGGGTTCCCCCACAAGATTGCCCGCGTTCGTATGATGGAAGTCTTTGAAGGCTCCGATTATTTTCCACCATGGAACTGTTCCATGTGGAACTGTCGATAGGTTCGAAATCTATTCAGATGATCGGCGAAGAAATTGCGGAGGAATGCTGAATTTCGGATCTTCCATCCCGGCTGGGGACCGAGGCTTTCAGGAGACTCCCCGCGGGAAAACTAGAGATGCTTATCTCGAGAAATGCGTCAGCCTCCCCGTAATGGTAAGAACCCTCGCATATCACTCAGAGAGCGGATCAGACCACAAAATATTTCAACGCACTCGGCTTATCTATAACGGTATTGCGTCCTGAAAATCAAAACTCACCCTTATGTAGCTGAGTGACCGGGATGCTTGGGGAAATCCGACTGACTGGCAACATTGCGGGAAACCTCCGCTGACGTGAGCCCACCGAATGAACTCAGACGGTCGCAACTCGGCGAAAAAGTGTTGGAGTCCCTTGTGGTACTGTTAGAAGAGAGAATGAGGTGGCGAATGTTCGCTGGTCGCCGGGAGCACAATGGCCTGGTCGTGCTTCACTCGATCCGGGCCTTCGGAGACCAACTAGGATCAGGAGTCGACGCAAGGCGCCGCATAATGTTCAGGAGTCGCACTTCATAGGCCCATCTTCTAGTAGGCGGGGTTTGGCTTCTCGCGCGGCCGCGATTGGCTCGCTATCGAACCGCCGACCAACCGCTGCGAGTGAACGAACAAACGAACGACGAGTGCCATCGACGATCTGAGCCGACGAGCGACCCGTCGAAGCCCGGTGGGCAGACCGACCGACCGACGAACCGACAGACAGTCGGCCGAACCCACGGTGGGATCCTGCAGATGGTTGAGGCCGGGGTTGAAAGCCAAATGCACAGATCATGTTCTGTGTTCTAATATCCTTTTCTCCTTATCGAGCAGCACTTTGCAAGCTGCGCATATCCTCATGTCCCCTCCCGATTTTGTTGTTTTCTTTCTTTGAACATCGATACCGTCGCGAACGTGCTCCATGCTTTGCCGCGAATTCCCCGATAAAGCGGCTGAATCGGCAACGAGGAAAATGAGGGGAAATATAGCTTTGGGAGGCGGAATGTGGAGAAATCAGTCGACCCCGATTTCCAGAGGCATCTTCGAACGATTTGTCAGGAGGAGACAGCCGCTCGTCCCGTTCCTCAGTCATCCCAGTATTCTATCTCGATTTCAACTAGGCTTTGGCTTACTTGGACGTGTGAGATAGGGGGGAAAACGCATCGCGGAAGTTCTACGGGAAAGCTGGGAGATCCTGACTTAGGATCTGAGTCCTGGGGGATCTCACGTCCAGCGACGCAAATGACCGAGACCTCCTCGGAACTACCGCTGAGGGAAACGGAGGAGTGTCTCATCCGCTGGTGACAGAAACTACGAATCACGTCTCGATGGAGTGCGATCCCCTTTTCGAGCCGGTGGATGAATGGACTTATACCCGGCAAGTCCCTGATCATTTGACCATCCATGCCTTAATAGGGACTCCCGCCAATCACTCCGAATATGTATGAGGCGCATGGTTTATTCTGACCCAGATTGAGGGGTATTTTCCGGAATCGTCGATGAGCCTTCTCTTAATCTAGCCCGGATTCCGGCAGGATCGGATGGCGTTCTCAACCTTGTACGCTGGATGTTCCCGCGAACATTTTGAGAATCCGGAGCGAAGTGAAATTCTTGTGCGATCGTTTTGAAGTATGACATCCTATGTCGTCTCGCCGAAGCGCGATTGACCGTCCAAAGTCACTCGAATGTCTGCTTCCGAACGTTGAGATATTGACGCGCTACAGTTCACCACAATTGTTCCGCGCCTCTATAGCGAGCACGATCGACCGGCAAAAGGCTTCACGCCTCGGAGGGAACCATGTCGTTTCCCATCGGAGGCCAAGAGCCGATTTCACCTGCGGGCGGGAATTGTCAGCCAGAGATGGGGTCGAAGCCGGGGGTCTTCGGGGCTAGAGGAGAGAGTTGAAGTGTCACCCACGATATCGAACCACAAGGAGCGATGGATGCTTCAATGACGTGACGCGGTTCATAAGCAAACATCAACCTCGCAGACCATCAGAACCGCGGCTTCTAAAAAAGGAGATAGACGGAAGACTTGGCTCGCTCCGAGATGAGCGGGTGCAGATAGAGAACCTGGTCCAGAGACGCCCTTGGGAGCACTGTGGGATCGCCTGATATCGCTGGAACCTCAATGGAAGTCTGGTTGGATTTCGGTCCCGGATCGTCTCCTCATTCTATCTGGTCATGTACTTAGGATACCATCGTCGAGATAACGGGGACATGTTGGAACTTTCGAGATCGCACTCTAGAGAACGAGCTTTAGGATGGTGGAGGGCAGATCGAACATCTCTGAATCGGCGATCATCTCTGTATTTGTACAGCTATTCCATCTGCATATTCAAAGCGATAATCTCCGAGATACTTGTGGGAGACACGAAATGGCTCTAGGCTCGATGTGGTTTCGCTAACTCACTCTCCCATTCTCTCGGTCAGCCGCCGTTCGAACGACCAAGCAACCGACCGACTGACTGAGTGGCGCCCGCCGCCCGCATAGCTTTTGGATCGAAGCCCCGCACCTGTGAACGTTATTTGACACACTCCACACCTCGGCCGAGAGCTTCTCTATGACTCTCATTCGATGGCTCGCCGTTCGCGGATCTATTGCTCTCGTCCCCCTCACCGGGAGAAGCATTCAAACAATATGAGCCCTCCCCCGGCTCTCCGGGGTCAGACTTCACAGGCGTCGACCGATCGAACGAACTCCACGAGGAAATATGTATGGTCACGATTGATTGATCGATTGCTTGATAGATAGGTGGTGGTTGTTCCAGTGTCAGTGTCTTTCGCGACGTTCAGGCGCTACCATTTTCGTGATCGCTTGAGCTTCACACAGATGGAAGCGTAGGATAAATTTCAATTTCTGGTGTGCCTTCCCTTTGACAAAAATACTCGCAAGCCCAATGCAGAGAGGTGTTCATCGGCATCACTAAACCCGAGGCGCGCTTTCTTAGGATTTTTTCGTGGCCGTGCCGAGTCGATATGAATTCGGTATGCCGGGGAAGAACGCGCATTTTTAACGAGGGTCTCCAACGAGCAACGCGAACTCCGAGGGAGCGATTCTCAAGGGAAAGAAAATGCATGATTCTCAAACCGACACTCGAAGCTGTTTTGAAACTTTGTCGCTTCTTGTCGTCGAGACCAATTCTCAGTTTTCCGTCCGGCGACACATACAAGCGAATTCGATACCATGATACATACACACTATTTAGGCAGGAAAGACTTAAGTTCTCCCATCGGGGATTCCCGAGGAATCCACATCAGGGAGCGGAGCGAGCTTTCGCGTCTTCAGGTTTTGTCAGCGTCCCCCGAACCAGATCCACAAGACGCTTGCCGTCAAGGGTGCTCGAGATATCTCGCCTTCAGGACCTACAGATTTTCGAGAAGGTATGCATAAAGAGATGGATCGTTTTCCCAATGCTGCGCTCTATTCTCTTCAAATATATCCTGTTGTTGGACAACCCCGGAGACCTATCATCGTGAGAGATACAGTTTAATATCACGGAGGCAATCGGCGAATGTACGCGGAGAGCTACGCCCGCGAGTCTCGATACGACGCTCAAACCAGTCCTCTCGGAGCTTGCGACGTCCGTCTTCCCGAGCCAACCGATGCGATTCGCTCAAGTTAACGCTTCAACTGAAAGAGATGCGGACTCCTCGGAGATGGTTTTTGGATTTTTCCGATTTCCTCTACCAGGGCAACAGACGAAAGTATTTTCCAGTCGACGAAACCGAGGCTCGCGAGAGGGAGAGAGCGACCGACCGACTGTCCGGTCGCTGGCCCAGTTAGTCAGCCAGCAAGCTAGCGTTTAAAGTGCTTAAGGGCTCGGATTTATCCGTGCACTCTGCTTCGAAGAGGTCCTTCAACGCATCTTGGGAGCCAGCCGTCTGCCGAACACAGGTGCGGGCTTTCCCTACACTTAAATCTATTATAGCGTAGCCTCCTTTAGCCTTCTTGGCTCTGCTGAACTCCTCTCCCTGGTCGGAGGAGGGGGAGAAGACACTCGAAAGTGACACTCCTGACAGCTTCCTGAAACAGCGAGAGATAAAGACATATCGAAAGAGACCCCGTGAAACCGAGGGAAAAATGGACCGTGACGAAATGTTCAATGTTCAGGAGCTTATCATGACCGGGATAATGGTGACGAGGCTCCTGAACCCATTGGCTCGAGTTCTTTGTGAGCAATTCATGTCCCCGTCGATCGTCTAACCCGTGAGTGGGCTGGAAAGTTTGTGGGAGCATTCAATGAATTACGAAGGACGATCGTGATCATCACTATCCGAAGATATTCCTAAATCGCAAATAGATCACTGGTCGCAATTCGCTCCCCGATACGACGCGACGCCTAGGACGGAAATGCGTTCCAAGCACTACTCGATCGATCCGGCCCTCATCTCGAAACGTTTGATGGACGAGTGGACTCGCCCCGGAGATCCGGGGCAGCTTCACACTTAACTACGCCAGCGATTTCGAGTCAATACCTCATCAAGACCGCCTCGATCGGTCAGTGCCGGAGTCGTCCTGCCCCGATATCGATGTGAGCGGTGGTGATAGGCAGATGCGTATTATTCGTGCCCCCGCTGGCGCAGGCTCAACTGGACTGGGGTATCCATCTGACTGACTGAGTCGGGGAATCTCCGTGGCGAAGGGCAAAGAAAGGTTCCCTCGAAAGCCTACTCTCGCGTCGGCCTCGTCCCGGGCACCATTACGCTCGAGTAATTCCCGTAAATGAATGAATATTTTGCCCACTCTCGGAGTTTATGCTCTTCCGCTCTCTCTCGGAAGGGACGACAATCAGCTGAATATCCCACTTGAATCCTATTTATTTCAGGCATTCGAAATTCCAATTTTTTTCATCGAGGCGTGGGCTGAGAAACAACAAACTCCGTGACGATTACTTGCCGATTACAACTGCGCCTGTACCTCTTCCCGATGAAATCGCGCTTGTCATTCCGAGTGAGCCCAGGCCGGTTGATCCTCTGGTCAGCATCGAAGTACCTCCTATGCCAACAGGCACGACGCCGCCGCTCGTCATTCCAGTCGTGATACCGGCGCTCGCGGCTGGAACCATCTGGTAACCTGCCACCCTTCTCTGACCAACCGGGGCGGCCATCTGCCCTTGAACCATCCCTCCACTTTGTCTCCTCACAGCCATTCCTCCGCCCGACGGGGGTACCTTCGCGGATTCAGGGCGGAAAATGATCAATCAAGAGACGCGCGTTCTTACTTTCGATCTATTGAAAATACTCCTTGCTCCTGAACTCGAGTCAAGGGAAGAGGTCTTCCCGGAATCCGTACTGTGTAGATGACTCACCTTTTTCTTCACCATGTAGCCGCCGGAACCGCCTCCACCCATCGAGGAACCCGAATTCCACGAGTATCCACCGCTGCCGCCGCCACCGTGTGAACCTCCGCCCGAACCCCAATTATTTTGAATTACCGTTTCGGTGACTATCTCAGTCCAGGTGAAAGTTTGTCCACCATTTCCTTCGTGACTCGAATAACTCCACGAATTATATGATCCTCCGCCATGATCCTCCTGTGATCGCGCCGGAAAAATTACCGCCGCGAAGAGGACTAGAGATCTTAGGGTCCACATGACTTGTGCGTTGATTCGGTCTAAAAAAACTGCGGGCACTCTGTCCGTCTCGATCAGCGTGTCCCCATCTTTCCAGTCACGGAAAGTACAAGGAAGCTTTGGAAGACGGAGCTAAGTGTTGATTCAGGCGATGCAAGTCATGGAGATTCTTTGAGCTCGGATCACATGCGGTGCGGCACGGAAGGATACACATCTCGCTGGACTATGAGCGAAAAACAGAAATTACGCGGTTTTAGGGTCTCGGATTTTTTTTTTTTAGGGTCTCCAAATTTTTAAATTTAGGGTCCCGTTCCCATGTTCGAGACAACTTAAAATGACCCCTCTGGGGATCCGAATAGATCGGAGCTTGCCCGAGGAGCGGAAGCCTCGGAGGCAAGCCGAATCCTTGTATTTCTTACGGGACGATGGGGCACCTGGTTTCGCTTGTCGGAGGCACGTCGCTCTCGGATTCACCGCGAAGCGTCAATCAACGGAAGCATTCAGACGTGTTGGGCGAGTCAGTGACAACATTCTCCGCCTCATCAAGGTGCGTATTGTGGTTCGACCACCCGCATTAGTCGTAATACGATCGTAACTTTCGAAAGGAGTCTCGACATCCAAACGAAAAAAGGAGCGGGACACGAGGAGCGTCTTCCTGTCCTCCTGCTCGCCTGTTGGTCCTGCTGTTCTCCTACTGGCTCGCTCGGCAACAGACTGCGTACAGAGTTAACAAGGGTGTCGGGATCTGGGTGCGAACTCGCGCGCCTGCCCGCCCGCTCGCTTGCTCACTCAAATCAAATAGACACTTGAATGGGGCGTTTTCTCGGAGCAACGCTGCCGTCGCACTGACATATGGCACTGAACTAGTAGCAATCAGCAGCCCATACAATTGTCCACGGAGCGCTGCGGAACGAAGATGAACTCGAAACTTGACACTACACGAGAGGTGTGTAATTCGAGGAGTGTGAGGTGCAGAATCAATCTTGACGAATCCACAACAAAAGTCGACACTCCGTCCCCCCTTGGGTCCCGATGAGCAATGAGATTCGACAAGTGCTTTGCTCGCTTACCAGTTTAGGAAGCGAAATCTCCCTCGGTCTCCCGGAGTACCCTGGATGTATCTTGCAGATGACTTCAGATCACATTTCGTGGTAAAAGTTCACCTGACGGCTTCCGACCCTAGAAACCTCAAATTCACCATGATGTGGACTGGTCTGAACAATTTTGTTTCGCGCCCGCAGAGAGAGCGAGGATTCGCGAAAATTCGATCTGGCCACATTTTTCGCCTAGTGCAACAATATCGGCAAATACCGAATCGGCGTTCTTTGGCGCTAAAAAACTGATCTCGGCCCACGGCATTGTTTACGGGATCCGCGGATTGTCCGTCGAGGAGACCAGAGTTCTCGGTCACTACCGTATAGATATCGCCGATCGGTCTGAGAGCCCACGGTGTTGGATCGTCGATGGTGATGGTGACCACGATAAACAGTTTAGTCCAAATCAATCAAGTTCACGGCCGCCTCCAGTCTGAGCTATCGGCAGAGATGTAACTCAGAACGAATTTACAATAAGTCGGAGAGACCGCGGCTCTTGAGTGACTAGGTCATTCACATTCGTGACAAAACTTTATAAGTCTCTGCGCATTCTGCAGTGAATGAGAAGACAGGACTTTTCGCAGGAAAGAATCTTATGATGTTTCCTTAGAGCCCGATCAATGATTCTGGAAATCCTCGGGAGTTCCAAAATCTCGGTGGGAACTTCTATGTGATCCCGAACTCGCCCACAGAGTAGCGCGATGTAGCCGCGTAGTTGAACACAGCGCTGTGAAAATTGATTTCTCTCAATACTCTTGTATACATTCCCGCTCCATTCCGCCTTGGCTATGCCGCTCGTCTGATCGCACGGTGTGTCCCTTGCGTTTCTAGTTCGAGGCTCAATCGCTCTGCTCCCGCCATCGCTCTTGCCAATATAAAAATGCATGCAATGCTAGGGACCGGATACCGTCCAGGATAGTTTTCATCTGTCTGCTCAAAGGAATATGCCAGCTCTAAGCGTAAGCAACGATAGAGATCACCATGTTGGTACTTGACTCAGAAAAATAAGAACCTGACCTCCCGGAACGGATCGTTGGTGATTGGTGAATCATTGAAAACGCGGGAAATCGCGATTGTCGATGCTGGCTTTCCACCATCGCTTTCCTCGAACAGGACATCTTCCAATGGAGGAGGGCAGGTGGGGTACTGGTCGATGCTCGAGAAAACTCGTCCTACACGGTCCCAATAAATCGAGGAGTCGATAAGGAAGGAATCATGCGGTGACAACAGAGTGGGGGGGCTCTCCACGCTCTTGGGACTGATCGAGCTCGATTGGCCGTGACGATTCTCGGATACGTTGTACATTATACGACACATCACACTTGCCCAATGACCGCTTCGACTCGCTCGACATCCTCGTCCTCGGATTCATGAAGCCCCTGGAGTCGTGATCGAAGCAGAATATCCTGCAGAATCGATCCTCGCGGAGAAGCGGGCGGGGAATCGAACGGTGACCATAGACCACGATATCTCGGTAACGGATGGAGACACGACTTCGCGGCTCGTGTTGCCCAATAGGGCGAGCGATTCTGCGTGGAAAACATGGTTTATGATAGCTTGTCATGCAGGCGGGATCCAAGAGAATCAAGATGCTGCCAAGTGTGTCCCAGAGTACGGCTTGATTCAGGCTTGATCTTCCACGATCCGGATGTAATGTTCCTCCGGCGGGATCTTAACTCGGTGCGGTTCAACGACCATGTCGCCAAAAGATCGGAAAACGACAACCGAGGGGAGGACCGCCTGTCCAGGCTCACGACAAAGATCATCAGCATCATCGTATACGCTCTCCCGTCAACCGATTTCGTTTTCGTGGAAGTTTTCCCCGCCTCCTACCTTAGGGTTCTCGATCGAGAGCGTAACGGACACACAATTATACGCTGTACCGAGAGCAGTGGGCAGCGCGTAGGAGACGCTATACAATCGTACGGCCGTACATGAAGGCTTCCACGTCTGCTAGTGTGTCGGTCATCATCGGCGGTGGGTGCGTTGTTGATATTTTGTCGTGTATGCCGACGACGAGTCGAGACCACACTGTGTCTCTTCTGTCTACGACGAGAGCCTCTGGTACGGCGAACGACAATCAAACCCAGGGGACGTTTTTCTCGCTCTGCTTGTGTTCGGACATTCAGTCCGTTCCTTCGATCACGCGGACCGGAACTTTGTGACGGCTTGTTGTTTCTCCTCTGTGGAATCCGCCGACACTGTTCGTCGAGACATAGTGATTAAGCCGCAGGGAACCTGTTTCAAGGCTCCTCGGAAAGAGGCCAGTCGTCCTAGAGGCTCAGCCTAGGAGCACCTAAAATGCTCCTGAGCTCCCGCTCAAGTGATCACAACGCACAATGAATCGACCAGGTGAGTGAATGGACCACTTTCACCGACGGTTTTCACTCTATTAGGGTTTCCCTTATACGTCCACATTTAGAGCTAGGAACGAGAGTGAGGTTACCGTGCTGTTTGTTGCGGCGACCTAATCGCTCTAACGCGACTACCATTCGACATTCGAAGAGCTTCTCCTTTGAGCCGCCTGCGCCTCTTCCTGAATACTTCCTGCTCTCGAGTGACTCCGGGATCTTCACTCGGAATCTCGCGCTCGAAATCCGAGGCTGAGAAGGCCGTGAGAGGTCTTTGACACCGGCAGCGGAGCAGGAGAGCTCGGTGAAAAGTCAGAGTGGAGAAAGCTTAACCCTTTCGAAAGGAATCGCCCGGCGGCTCTTTTATCTACTACTAGTGAATAATGTCGAGTGGAAGACCTGTTCGAATATCTCCAGGTTAGGTCAACGAACTCGGAGCGGCGTTCCTCCTTTGTGGAATTATCAGCGGGTATCGAGAGCGATCCGACCCGAAACCAGAGCGATCAGTCTCAGTGCGAGGTTCTATGGAACGACCGACGGTGCGCTGGGGGAGGAGCTCGTGTATCTGAGGACGATCCTCGAACGATTCGGAAATGAGACATGACGATGTCGAATCGGCTTGTGACCGGAATCTCTCGCTGCGTTGCGTCAAAAGTCCTGGTCCTGGACATCAACTCCTGACCGCAATTTTCCGACCCGAGCTTTCGGCGAATTCATGGCGTAATGAATTCATGTAATGAGCAAGTCATCGAGGTCAGACGGCAGGTTCGAAAACATCCGACTCCACCGTTTCCGCAGCTCCCTCGGCGACGGCCTCTCGTCATGAGACTCTGATGCAGGAGTCAAGGTCATGTCCGTTTTGAATTTCTTCGCATGGTAGAATCTCCAAGCTGATCGAACTGGGAAAAAGCACGTTCCGGTACCGAAATTCGCGGGAGAAGCAAGGAATCGCGAAGAAAAATCGAATCTGTCGTCGCGTAGTCTCCATCCCCCTGTATCTCTCCACAGAGTGGCTTTTGTTCTTCGCGTCAACATCGATTCGAGTGTCCACACATTATTGACGCTCTTGTCCTTCTCCATCTTTGTGATTAAAGATCACCTACTACGTGTTTATGCCGTATATTCCCTCTCCCGAGCTCCAGTATCTACTTGATCTGTTTACTTCCTATAAAACTCGGGTTTGATATCTCTCGGCTCTCGGCAAGTCTTTGAGAGCTTGTTGATAAACATCCTGCGAGGCATTCCTTTTCCGAGGTTGATCGCAGGGAATTATGCCTTCAGAATCGGTGGACGGAACTCGTGATTATTTTAACGCGTGTTACTGTGGTCTTGTCGGGGAGCCCACGTCCAGATACACTGGTCGTCGAGGGCTCGATCAGCATCTCTGGGGCAATAGCGGAGCTCCCAACTCGAACCCTGACTCTCGCTGGAGACACTGTCGACGGGCATGAATCGAATAATCCTTCGAGCAGGAGGCGCAAATCACGGCGCTGATAGAAAGAGATATGTGGCGAGTGATTAGGAACGACGAAACAAACAATCTGTGCAGCTCGCTTGGCCGATAAGGTGGAAAAATGAGAGTTCTCGAGTTTGATTCGCATTCACCTGATCGAGTTTGAACTCATCCGTGTGGATCGGGATTGAGGGAATCCGCTGCTAACTCAATCGACTTACAGTAGGGGCTCGATTATATCAATTTCCCGGGAAACCTCGATTCTAGCAACGAATATAGCAGCCCCAGAGGCAGAATTTATAGTGGATGATCAAACCTTATTTCAGGAAAGAAGAGGAATGCGGTCCCGAAGTTCTCAATTCCGGACGCGCAACCGCCGCCCACGCAAGATATGTAAGTTTCCGTCGGATCGCCAGCTTACGAAACGTATATCTCACGAACAGTCGAAACGAGAGGCTTTGAGCAAGAGCTCCCCGATTCCGTGAGCGTAATCCTGAATTCGTCTTCACAGAGCACCGGCGAATCTCGAGTCGTCAGCTCTGATTGTCCTCGAAGGCCAGCAATTCACAGTAGGGGCCGATGAGCTTGAAACACTCGAAGAGCTGGGACGAGGGGCCTATGGAATCGTAGAGCGAATGCGGCACAAACCAACTGGGACCTTGATGGCCGTCAAACGGATCACATTCACATTGAATGAAAATGAGAAGCGTACCGCGCTCATGGAATTGAACGTCAGCATGAAAGCCTCGTGTGAATATACAGTACGCTTCTACGGCGCGTTCTTCCGGGAGGGCGACATCTGGATTTGTATGGAGGTCATGGATACTTCATTGGACAAGTTCTACAAGGCCGCTTTTGCACAGTGCGGCGAGATTCCCGAGAACGTTCTGGGACGGATTAGTTTCAGCATCGTGACGGCCTTAGACTACCTTAAAGAAAGACACAACATAATGCACAGGTTAGCGTGATATCCTGCTCGCTTTTCACGATTTACGATACGACCTTGAAACGCCGTCCGAGATCGATGCGACAGGTCTTCATCCCTTCTCTGTTGCAGGGATGTCAAACCATCGAACGTCCTCATTAACGCTCAGGGAGCTGTCAAGCTATGCGATTTCGGGATATCGGGCCACATGGTGGATTCAGTTGCCAAAAGCAATCTCGGCTGCAAACCATACATGCCGGTGAGAAATAGTGCTCGTATTGATTCGTCTCCCGTGCGGTGCCTTCTTTTATGGGCAAGGGTAGAAAAATGATGGACGAAATACATCGCCGGCACTTCTGATATTTTCGAGAGTCTTCGTGATCAATATCGCCCCTTGTCGTTTTTCCAGCCCGAGCGCATCGAAGTTGAAGTGATAGTACCGTACGATGTTCGTTCTGATGTGTGGAGCTTGGGAATAACGATGGTGAGCCGATCTGGATCTATGATAGATGAAGCTAAACTGAGTTGGATAATGTTTTAAGCTAAACTAAATCTGATGATGGAAAAGCCGGATCAAATAACTCAAGTCACAAATAAGTCGAGTCCGCAAACGACGTCCTTCCAGGTCGAGCTCTCGATTGGACGATTCCCGTATCCGACAATAAGGAATGTGTTCGAGCAACTTAAACAGGTTGTGCAGAGCGAACCACCTCGACTCCCTCCGGGGAAGTTCTCAAAGGAATACGAAGTTTTCATCGAGCTCTGGTGAGTTGTCTCATTGGAGTCGCTATTTTCTTTCTTGGAATGTTGTTAATCCGATTCACCTGGGATAATTCCCCTAGAATGCTCCGTGTCCCGATTGAGTTTTGACCCCCTCGCTTCTAGTTTGCAGAAGAACCGCGAGAACCGAGCGAAGTACCGTCAGCTTCTAGACACCGAGTTCCTGAAGAAGAACAAGGACAATGATATTGCAGATTTTGCGAGAACGGTGATCAGTCAAATGGATGTAGAATGAAGACGAGCGTCGGATACGAAGCGCGATTAAGTCATTGTGGTCGGTGCCGGGGGGAAACGCGAGGAATAAGTTGGAGAGATTCCCTAAGCTCAAATCTCGGAATTGGAGAGATTCGTTGCTCGGCTCGGAGGATGCTCCAGAACTCTTCCTGGAACTTTTGTACAAGCCTCTTTTCTTTGTCAAGGTGTCCTACTAGTGCAATGGGGTAGCAACGATTCACCTTGATACAGAGTTTATATTATGAAACGTTTGATAAGAGAAATGACGCGAAAGAAATTAATCAATCTCGTGGATGGAGTGTCAATTGAGAAGACCATGCGTGTGAGAAGCCTTCACGTGGTCTTGTGAAGACCATGCCGCCAATCGAATCATCGAGTGTTGGAAATAGGACAAATAGCTTATACGAGACAGTTCTGTTTGGAGAGTCAATATACAATACCTGTTTACGGAAAACTTCCGCTAAAGTTACCTGATGAGGTGCAGTCCTCGACATGGAAAACAATGGTACCCTATACATACATATATACAAACATGGCAAATATATACGGAGTTTCATGCATACGTGTGGTCTTATATCTGCATCCGATCTCGACGCTCCGATATGCGAAGAAGTCGATGATAAAGTTGAAGGACTCCTGTATGAAAAAGTGATCTTAATCGATCAGGGACAAGTTGAGGGATTTCTCCAAGGGGAGAGGTCTTCGTGGGTTTTCTTCGGAGAGCGAAAGGGGTTCGTCGGTCCTTATGCGGCGCTCAATGATGGGACTTCCGAAGACGATGATAAAAACATTGAACAGGCCTGTCCGGCCTTCCCCTGGGTCTGTCGCCGTCGGTGATGACAACAATTCGCACGTCACCCGACATAGACGAAGGAGGAGGCCGACCCGGCTTGCGAGGACGTGCACGGAAGGTTGGACCTGGGTTCAGCGAGCCCTTCGACCATGTGGCGAATAACTCGTCCCCAGGATTCCCCGATGGGACAGGTCTCAGCCTGAGACGGGTGAGGTCCCGAAGTCAAAGGATTTCGTGGTCTCCCGTGGGCTGGTGATGCTTGTCAGTACATTTTGTTTCGGGGAAGGTCAAATGAACCCCACTTTCGCCTTTCTCGAAACTGTAAATCCGACTGCAGCGACCCGGCTTTCATAAGTCTTGCGAGCGGAACGGCATGCGCCCATCTATAGCCGTCATTCCTGACACACGTTCATCTTCCGGAACGAATGAATGCCCTTTCGCATTTGGTACGGGATTCCATAAGTCGAAGCTGCCTTCTTCTACGTAGAGTAGTTCCCCGTCCGTTCTCCTTGAATTTGTTTAGCGGGTTTTGAGAAATGTAAGGCTTTTCCTCCTTCCGATGCTGCCTGGAAAGGTAGTGATTCCTCTTCGGAACGGCTATATCCAGCTCAGAGGGCGAACATCAATTCAATCAGTGGAAGCCTGGGTCGTTAGTCAGTTCGCGTTTATCGCAGTCGATCTGTGTTAGTCTGCAGATCACGCCATTCTCGGTGTCACGGCCGAGACTTTCTGTCCTGTCCTCGATCCTGTCACGGGCCGTCTGGAACTCAAACGATCAGATGAGACAGACCCGGTCTCATTATTTCGCTGATATATTTGAGTGTTGCATGCATGATGTTGAGATGTCCCTCGCTGTCCGGTGTACATTGCCGGCTCCATTGAACCATGGAGGCGAGCACCACGACCCCTCCCTCTCTCCATGGCGACTCCGGAGCGACAATCTGGACGTGGTCCTCGCATGCGTGATCGGCGGGCGTACATGCATTGATCCCGCATTGCCCGTTCATCTACCCATGCGTATAGCGTATACCGCCCCGGTCAAATTCTGAATCGATCATTCAAACGTGTCTGGACTCGAGTTCTCCGAGTCTTCGTGGAAATATGTCAACTCCGCATGACCCGACTTATCTTCTTCTCCGCGGCGTAGTGACTCAGTTCTGTTTTACATTCCATGCTGCCAGCGACAATTCTCCGGTCTATTGACGTGCTGTGTCCTCACCGTCGCGCTCCACTTCGTCGAAGCAAGGGCGGAATATCTGGCACTCTCCATCGTCGAGCAGTGTCTTTGAGTCTCGCTCTCGCGGCTCTGCAGGGGAAAGAATCTCTGGCAGAATTTTCTCTGAAGGACTGGCTTTTAGTCTCTCCAGACCCGTTTAGTCCCTGGGGTTGACGGAAGATTCCGCGGCTTAAGCTCTTTGCCCTGTGAGACGCTTTGACTCTGAGAAGCAGGGTGAGCGCTGGGAGGTGCGAATCCACCGCGATATCACGGTCAGGCGGAGGGGGCAGGGCATCGAACGTGTTTCTCGGGGGCTGCTACGCACCGGCCTGAAGCCTTTTCGGTACAAATTCACGATCCTCTTCTAGTCTCGGAATCATCGCGGCACCCGCCAACAGGTCTCGGAATTTCTGCTCTTCGAAGTGCTCGAGGGACAGCAAGGGTGGTATCACGATAGCACAGAGGAGGATACGCCCCTGATTCTAGGTTGGGATCTGGTATCAGGAATCTGTGTAGTCCTCGTACAGCTGAATATAGCTGAATCATTGGTGGAGCCGTCTGAATCTGAGAGATCGACGCCTGGCTATCGGGAGGGCTTCCAAGCAGGCCACATGGGACATTTCATCATTAGCCGGTTGTTTCCGCTGATCCAAAAAGAATCGGAGTAATCAAGAGCTTCGGAAAGCGATTGCGGGCTTGCAACCTTCGGTCGACTCGCTCTCGCTATATGTAGATCCGAGCTTCCGTGACCACTGCATGACGAATTGTGTCGACTTTTGAGAGGGCTCAGAAGGGGAGGACTGCGCCATTGGTGGTACTATTTCTGAATCCGTCGGATTCTTCCATGATAATCACCTCGGATGCGCGGTGATGAGTTCCTCCGCTGCGAACAGCCTCCGCAAAGTAAGTAGGCGAGTATTCAAGTAACTGCTCCTTACCAAATGTTTATTCACACATACTCATGTCATTTCTACGTGTGGGTAGAATCCTAGAGAAACTTATACATGGGTATAAAAAAATATTTTCCTTGAATCGTGTCGTCTCTGCCCTCTCGTTCCTCGTTCCTCTCCGTGATTCCGAGAACGGAATACTGCTGTGGTGCAGCATCGGCGTGATTACTCGTCGTATAAACGCAAGAAGAATGCTGGCACATATATTCATGGACAAGCGCAAAGCCTGCCATACCCAAGAAATTGACTGAACGATGACGGGCGGTGAGGAAAAAGAGGGAGCATTAGTCGCCCGGGCGAACACCGGGGTTTCGAGCAATGCGATGGCATGGGGGCAGGTTCGAGGAGGGTAGGGAATATGCGAGAAGAGGGGAGGCGGCATTCGCCGATCGTTGCCGGGGTGATTCCACAGACTTTTCATGTGGGGAACGTCGACGTTTGGAGGAGGCTGACTGAAAGCAGAGGTTTTCAGTCGACGGCTTCTCTTCATTTTCTCGAATGCCTCCGAGCTAACCCACGGTTCACCTTAGCGAGAAGCGATGGCAGAGACTAATATAGATTGAGCAACGAGGGGAGCGGATAGAGCTAGTTTCTTTCGACGACGCCAGTAGGAGGGAATCTAGCTACGGAGATGCTGGTGGGCTCAAAAGCGAGAGCGGACATAGCCGAAACCTCTGTTAGGAAAACCCTTATCCCTCCTGGAATTTTCCCGTGGCCGCATGTGCTATACACCCGCTCGACAATGTTCTGCCATCCCGTCGCAGGCAAACGCTCCACGGAATCGACGAATGGACCCATTCACCATTTCTTCCCCTTCATGAGCAGTGTCGTTGAGACCAGACGTTTGACCTTGCTGCGTAGAAAAGATAGACAGTTTTCCCAAGAGAATCATCAATCGAGCGTGGACCTGGTGAGCTATTTCCCTGGCTAGACTGCGGTGAATTACGCTACCTCGCACTTACAGGGAGCTCTACGCTCACTTCAAATCAACGTATCGATCGCTTGGGATCCGGGATTCGAAATTGCAGCTATCATCTAGCCACGCATCATGAATTCGCCCGCCGCCCATCCGCAGGAACGAGTTCTGGAAGTTGATGGGCGATGATAGGAGTCTAATGAGAGCGCCGATGACAGAGTTCTTTGCTCCGTGACCGCTTCCAATGACGTCTGTGAGCCTGGGGATAAAGTTGCACAAGACGAAGCAACTCTAGTGCATTCCGACATTCGAGAGCGGAGCAACGCAAGAATGATCGGACTGGAGTTTCACAGGGAGTCTTTATCGACAGGGGAGGCTGAAGACCCCTATAGCTCAATGAACAAGGACTCTCTCTTCAGTTTCACTTCCCGACTATATTTGGCGCATGCCGAAATCGGATTCCCGCTTGTCCCCTCCAATCTCGAGTGAAGAACAAAGTGGAGTTGCTTCGCTCGTCCGTCGGGCATGCTGGCGAGATGTTGGCATTTTTTCCGCTTGCTTTCGTCTTCGGCTTGTATTTCCCAGAAGTGATGCTCGCTCACGAAGATTGCATCCTACCGTGCGGAGAGATAAAGTCTCTGGTGTCGAAGATGCGGGCTGACCTGGACAAACATGGTCTCGCGGAGACGAAGAAGCGACACGGAGTTTGGTTTGCTGACGAATTCACCTCCAAATTCCAACCCGGAGGGAAGATGGATCTCGAACCAGATCATGACAAAGAAATCAAACAGCTTATGAAAGTTCTCGTCAAACGGGTGGCTTTGACTCACGCGAAGCTGCTCAGCCACGACCATAGCAAGCATTCGTTGCACAATCACACGATTCCATTGATGAAGTATGTTGCTGCGATCGGTCCCGACCCTGAAAGTCTCTTGGAGGACATGGAGATTCCTGAGCCAGGGAGATTATTGGGAAATAAATAATTTGTTCCTTCTTGAGACGTGCCTCCTTATTTGAGAAACCAATCACGCTCCTCAAGCGGTCGCTTTCTCACCGATTCCTGAGTCTCCGAGCGCTCCGAGCAAAACTGATAGGCCGATTCACGGGGCTGGTCCCTCACGTCTCATGTGCAAAACAAGGGGTAAGAATTAAAGCTTGGGATAATCCAATCCTAGGCCCTCGCGCAGGCATGCATCGGATCGAGAGGCTCCACTTTCGTAAACAGCGCTGTGATCGCGATAGAGCTGCTACTACGCATCATGCACTCACCGGATCGAGTCGCGCACTCGCTCCGCTGCTCAACTGAAATGAGAGGAAGTCGGAATATCTCACGGACAGCTGAAGTCCGTGGCCGTGTCAGACTGCGAACGGGGCGTAGAAATGCGGAAGATCGAAGCGAATGGGAGCCCGTTCAAGTCATCGATTTCCCAGGTGGAAGGGCCGTGGAGGCCGAGAACCCTGGAAGCATTCACCCTGAAAGCGGACAAGGACTCCGAGGAGCAAGAACGGCACTCGGTACTTCGGGAAGCGTTGACCTCATATCCTCCGAGTCCACATCGAAACGTAGCGTCGTTCTGAACCTCTTTCTTTCATCTGGCTCGGATCATTGAGCCGCCCCAACGAGGTCGTTCGAGGAGGGAACACGATGACGGACTCGATGTCTTCGCGGGAGGATGAAACATC